GCGATTTGTCACTAATACTAGTATGTCCACGCTGGTATTCTAAATACCAGCGTTCGACAGACGTTCAAAATTGCCAGGAAATATGGAAACAACAGTACTAAAAAGGCATGCCTAGTACGTGCAATTTTCCTGCCTGTTACCGGCCACTGTACTAATTTGGTAAGGTAGGTGAGGGTGCTCTCCTGCAACCGACTGAGTACCGGACGTATGGCCTCTATGGTTCTTAGGACAGCACTGTGGTGCTCCAGCCTCTGCTCCCACTCGGCGATAGCGAATGAGCGCAATATTAGTCTGCGCCCTCTCCCAGTCAACTCCGACAAGGGGACCCCGGATTATTGCCTCCTCGCGCCACAAGTGCAGTGTCTTCTAGGACCCAGGGAAGGGAACCTTCCAGCGCGCACGCCGCCTCATCGGAGATAGTTCTGTAGGCCTGAATGGCCCGTATAGCCCTTTGCGGTCTGTACAGAAACGCCATGTTCGGCGTTTCAGGGTGCAGGTCCAGACGGGGGCACCGGACAGGCCCATAGACCTCACGAACCCGATGTATAGGGGCCTGCAAGTCGTTGGGGCCGCTTACGTTCGGGAGCAGACTTCCGAGAGATGGCGCTGCTCTCGCCACTTTTGGAGCTAGGCGCTCGAAGTAGGGAATTCCATTGGCATTATACCTCTTTGTCGACTTTCGTCGATACGGCCATAACAAAAAGTATTCGTGCATCCGCTGGTGGCGCATTCCAAGGCCCATAAATACAGGGCTTCGGATTTATTAAGCGCCACGTCTAGGCCAGTCGCTGAATGCTTCCCACCACTTGCGCCACTTCCACTTTGGCTTTCTATCTATAGCGGCCTGGCATAAATAAGCACCACGGACGGTGACAAAGGTGTTATGAATGTAACACGTTACCTCGACTCCCTCGAGGGAGGCGCCACGCAGCACCCAGCTATAACCTACGTTCCACAAGAGTGGCCTTATTATCGATCCATGTAGAACTCCCGTGGCCTTCTCGGCACCACAAGAGGGTGCGACAAATAGGCCCCGATGATCTGTCGCTGGCATAAAGGCACTCCATGGAACTGAAGCGCCTCCTTTATGCAAACCCAGGGCAAGGTTTTGAAGGCATTGACTATGTGGATGTCGAGAGATACTGCCAAGAGAACTTCATCCTGGAAAACCGTCTGCTGCGTGAGGTATCTCATCTAGTAGCACCGCGTGGATGGTCGAACGATCCCTGTGGAACACGAAACTACGCGCCACTGTCCTCTAGACCAATGAAAATCGGGCTTAACGAGTGCTTTCATGTTTTTATATCACTTAATTTGACAAATACAATATAAACTAACCTCGAATCATGACGAATATTTTTGAATTAACATGTGATGAACCTCGGCTATGTTCTTCTTCCTCTTTTTAATGGCTTGCTTTAGTTATCGAAATTCTGCGAATGTTAAGTTGTTCTTAAAATTCTCAATTTTATAATATTCACATCAAGATTGTAATAGACAAATAAAAACTTTAAAAATCCGTATGTCATCCTCTTCGGGTTCGGGTTGAAATACGAAATGTCAAACCTGTATGATATTTTGCGCGCGGTGTATTTGAAATTCAACATTCGCATTCGCGAATTTGAAAATTCTAACATTCGTTCCATCATTAGTAAAACCCTACACACGTTATTTTTTTATATCAAATTCTAATCACTATTATTAAAGTAAAATTTTTGACAGCACTTCATACCTGACCTGAAATAAAAAGAAATTCAGGTCTTCACTTCGCACGCGTTAACATCTGTTTAATTATATGTGAAACGAATAGTTTATCTTGTCTAGATTTTATTAACAGTATTGAAACTCGACAAGTAGTATACTTTCCCCCTTTGACTATATACTTGTCTAGATGAAGCATTACTCGACGCGAAACTGTCTCGGATGCGTGATGTGTGGCGCTCGTGTACTTATTCTAAACAAACTGTCAAGGTATGCGTGTTTAGGGATGCTTGCTCCAAAATATTAGTTCACAAAATAGCTTGAATAAAGTAAATATTTTGTAGATTAGTATTTTTTGATTTAAGTAAATAGTGACCCGCCCGGCTTCGCTTGGATGCAATATATTATACACTATGTGCTGCCCGCGACTACGTCAGCGTAGAATAGGCTGAAGGGGTAACATTTAGACAGAAAGGCAGATATACATATGTATACAGCGTGTCTACAATCTTTACAACTTTTTAAAATTGTATTAAACATTTACATTCTTTAAACATCAATATTTACAGTTATTAAATTTTCCAAAACAAAGAATTTTAGATCACCCTTAAGTATAAAACTGTAACGTTAAGTTCATTTGTAAAGGTCTCAAAGCATATGAATGGGTTGAATGAATTTAAGAGACAAAACATACTGTTAGAAGGAGAGGCTTGGAAAGCGACGCTAGTTGTATAGATGTTACAAATTTTGTTTCTTTTTTACTTAATTAATTAGTTTTATTATACAATTTCCCCAGATAATTGCAACACGATATGATAGCACAATGATTTTTGTAAGCACGTTATCGGTAAGCGATTCAAGTGACTGACGTAAGTGAAACGCGTGTCTACCAATTTTAGCAGACATTTTTTTTGCGCACTTCGATACGGCTAATGAGATATCTAGACAAGTATATAATCAAAGCTTTCACGAAGGTTTGATTATATACCAATGCCAAATCGTGGCATAGTGCTATATTCAATAAAGTGAAAATACAAACACTGCAGTTTTAATAAAATTTAATTTTATTTCGAACAAAATTATATAGTCGGCTGCCTGTGCTCGTTGGATGCCGAGGCGCACGCGGCCCGCGGCAGAAACAGAAAAGGCACTAGGTAAGTACGGCGCGGAAGGCACTGCGCCCTACTCATCCAACATACTACAAGCATGTCGTCAAATAAACTATAGCACGGTTCAAACCAGTCGGGGTTCAACGTACGCCTCACGTGTTGTTAACTGGTATACAAAAAATATTGTTAAAATAACATACAGCCCGCCTCCTATAAGTTAAAATTTTTTTTTTCAATGATTATATTAAAAAGGCTGAAAATCTATAAATGCAGAATATACAATTTATAACAATATGGAAATTTCACCTGTCACTGTTAATTACTATATTTTAATGCCTATCACATTTTCCGCGACCGGCACGGCTTGCCATATAAGTACTCTATCTATTCTTACATTAATGATTGTGTAGGAGTTAGAAGATGGACCTTTTCCACCACTTCGGAATATAATTGTTGAAACTTTCATATCAATATTTGCACACGAAAATAATAAGCGAGCAATAAGGTTGTCAACTTTTGCTAAATATTGCCATTTTTCTGTCTACAATGTTAACGCCTTACCATAAAACAGCTCCATCCGGGTGTGTTATAAAAGCAATAAATTTTATTCTATTATTTTAATTATAAATATAAAAATATTGCAAGTTATTAACATTGACCAAAATAAGGTCACCTTGTATAATTATATAATGCTATTTCAGTCTGCACTGAAATCAATCTATGTTATGTAACATGTTGGTATAAGGAAATATTGTTTTTAAATATTATTTTTTAATAATTACTTATATTTGGGTGATTATAGGCAGATAATAACTAACCAGTTCGAATGATCAACTAATATTAAAATTTTCGCTCTCATATTGTTCAACCAAATTACACGAAATAAAAGTTCCTATCACAAAATGAAGAAAATTTTAAGAAAACATTAACCAAAACAAGTAGTTGATCATACTAACGGTGGATACATGAAACGGTCATTCATCAATCACAAAACGCTTTTAAAATAAAGAGCTCAGTGTTATTGGAAGAACTTACTATTCAATCTTACTTCACTTATAAGAATAATTTACATCTAACGTTTATTCTTTAGCCAAACACCAATTTACGGAAAAGGTTATAAAAATAGAACTTGCAGCGTGCACGCAAATTTCATATGTATCTATTTCGTCATTTTCCATGCTTTCGACGCGGTTTGGTGTCATGTCATCGGACTATTTTTCGTTTTAACAAAGAAGTTCCTTTAAATACTTTTTAGAAAATTATAAGTATAAATAAAATAAAAACGCTGTTAATCATAAATTAGAAGAGATCAAAATAAAAATAAAATATATTTATTGACAAATGCACCGAGTTCGTGATATTGAAGCGTGATTAAGCTGTGGGAACATCTAATTGATAAAATTGTAGTATAAAGTAAGACATGAAAGTGGACCACAGGTTATTTGTAGTATTCAAATGAATTCTTATGAATACAATCATAATTTATGACATCAGTTATTTATTTTACCATTTATTTAAATGTTAAATTGTGAAAATTGTATAAGGAGAGCAACATGATTAAAACAATGGTGCAAAACAGTTAACAGCTTTTTTTTGTTCTTAAAATGGGTAAAATGGATGTAAACTAATAATTTTAATACATGCTGTCTAGAAGCAGATTAATTACATTAACTTTATAGTTAACAAAATAACATATTTGAGAATGACACAAAGCAAAAAAAAAAAACTGCAAAAAAAAATCAATTCAGTATCTCGAGCATAAAAAAATGGATAGAATTTCGCACGTCCTATTAAATTGCTTATTTTGTTTCATAGTCCTTATAAGTTGAATGCAACTTTCAAGGGGCATTACTATGCAACTCCTGATGCATAGGATAAAATTGTATAAATAACACTTGTATAAATATGCTTCTAATTTTCCGTCATTAAAAGTGAGGCATACTCATATTGCAGGACTTTCGTGTTAACTTTATTTTGCAGCAGTGGCTTTTTTATTTTTTATAATTCCATGTTCCAATTCATCTAGCTGTTCTATTAACCCAAGAGAGATTAATGATTAAGCAATACACTCGAGCTCTCATAATATAAATCCCAAAATTCCGGTTTACATATTATTACTTGAATTCTCTGATGATATAGGTTTTGTAAAGGCCTATCCTAATTAAATTACAATCATAGGGGCCAAATTTACTCAATTATTTTCAACACTTTGCCGATCGCGATAGTTTTATCTGAAATTAAATTTTATTATTTTATAAAATGTATGGTTGAAGTATTAGGGCCACGCAAGTTTAATCTGTTGGGGAATAGGTCGGTCCAGGGAAGTACCACAACCTCACAGAAGACGTCGTAAAGTAAATGTTATACTTCTGCATTTCATTTGTTGAGTAGGGTAACCGCAGCCCACTTTATTAAAAGTTGGCCATCCATCTGCAACCTTATGGTGTTGGCGTCAACCATCAGGGCGGCGTTTATCACTTAATAACGAGAAATGCTAGCTCACTTACCACCTTATCAAAAAAATGAAAAATTAAAGTAATTATGTTTCTTTTGTAGGTTTGTAGATAATATTATTTAGGTGCTGTCTATACTTTTTAAATAAGATATATGTAAGTACTTACTCTCGTCTCTCAATGTGAATCTGCCCATTTGAGCAAATTTCTTAAATGGTTCTAGGCAAATCAAACCAGCACACTCCACCCTCATAATGGCTACTTGGTCCTGTTTCACGAAACGCGGTCGCGTCTTTGATTTTTCTCCAGTCTTCTTGTCTACCAAACATATTAGCGCCTGCACATAAAATTTAAAAACAATTTCAATATTATTACTGGTAAGTAGTACCACTGAATATTATTAGTAAGTTATTTTTATTGTTATTGAAAGTTTTAGTTTTTAAAAGGAATATTTAATGCAGTTTTAAACAGAAGTAAAGCTTTATTTAAAAACATCACAGGCAATGAATTTTTCTACAGTGATTGCACACTCATGGTCTAACAAGGTAACATTTAAATGACATGAGTACACAAAGTATACAAAGATTTAGAACCCGAATTTATATGGAAACCAAACCAATAACCATAATCCCACCCATACTAAATAGTTAATACACATGCTGTTTAATTTAACATATACAAACTGTGCATGGATAGATTGATCCGTGAAATGTTATAGGTTAACTGTAAAAACAATCAAAATCCTCATAGTAACGGCTGTTGTCCATCCATACACACAACTCATATTAAAATGGAAGAGTTATTTGGGGCATACTGAAAGTTTCTGGTACTGGCAAATAAAACAAAAAAAAACTTTTGAGATACTGGCAATTAATTCTTCCTTTTGGCGTCTTTTACAAAATTGTGTTTCTTTATAGTGTATTTTATGTGCGAAAATGTTCATTTATGATTTGCTGACGATTAAGTCAGCTAGAGAGTTTTCATAGACTTACATTGGCATTTGGTGATGATCACAGACTACAGAATGAACCAGAAGCCGCGAACCCGCCTGATACTGAAGCATTATAAACTGCTCAAAAATATTTGACGCGCAGCTGTTTAGTCAGTCTGAACTTCGTATGGCGTGACGTGATTGACATGTGCCCAATTAAAATAATTTATGCCGTCTTTTGTCGTTCCTACCTGTAAAAAGGTAGCTGGACTCAAAAAGAAAGAGAAATATATCACATTTCATATACAGCATGGTGTTACAATCGCGACCATAAATGAACACACTTCTAAGGCTACTTGCCAAAAATCATTAAAAAATTTAAACGTAAAAAAATCACAGTTAGATAAAAGTAATTTTCAAGCAAACTAATTAAATAAAAAAGAAACAAAATTTCTTTTCCTACATCCTATACAGCTACAACCGACTGATTCATTGATAATGTTTACGTTACCGACTCGAACGACAACGTCGCAGTCGCATAATACCTACAAACCTTAAACCAGGGTGATTGGAAGTGAGAGCCAATTTTTGATGCTTTTCACGAATGCACTGAAGAGTTCGTCAATTACCGTAATCATAATCGTATATCGGCATAGTCGGCCCAAGTGTTTTGTGTGTGGTGTGTTAATGTGACACGCTGACTCGTTAAATAATACAAAAATAAATAAGAGCATCCATAACGTATCTTAAATTACAAGTTAAACTTTTACATAAACTTAAAAGAAAATTAAAAAATTTAGGCCAGTTTTATAAATTGTACGGAACCCTTCGTGCGTGAATCAGACTCGCAATGGCCGGTTTTTTATGATATCCGTATTTCTTTTTCTTATATACAGCGTGCCTTTACCACTGCGACAATAAATGAACACATGTCTAACGCTACTTGCCAATAATCATAAAAAAATATTAACGTAAAAAAAATACATAATAAAAAAAATATTTTTCAAACAAACTAATTAAGTAAAAAAGCAACAAAATTTGTAACATCCTATACAACTTCATCTGACTGATTCATATATTCAGAGACTTTTTCATTCGTTGCCACAGCGCCGCATTACAAGCCTCTCCTTCTAACAGTAGGTTTTGTCTCTTTTAAATTCATTCAACCCATTCATATGCTTTGTGACCTTTACAAATGAACTTTACGTTACAGTTTTGTACGGAAGGGTGTTCTAAATTCTTTGTTTTGGAAAATTTGATAACTCGTTAAATAATGATGTTTAAAGAATGTAAATCTTTAATACAATTTTATCCTCTATATGTGTGTTCATTTATTGTCGCGATGGTAAAGACACGTTATATACTTAATTATGTTAGCTGTCATCCTTACCTAACTTTAGAAGTTCTTTGCCTAAAGATTTTTTGACCTCTACATATATTAATAAATGGAGTGCAAAAACGAACATTTTCGCGCAAAACATGCACACATTTGCTGTGTGTGGGGGTATGTGTCTGTGTATGTGTTTATTTGGAACTTTAACTTGTCAACTATTGCAATTATACGAAAAAATGAAGACATAAGATTTCATCATTTATCAAAATGTGAAGCTTTCTAATATTTTTAAATTCTTTTATTTCTTGAGGTTACATATGTATTAAATACCTTTTTGAGTGGATTATTTTTATTTTTTTATCACATTACTACAATGGTTAAACGTTCTAAACAATATTACGCGGGTGGAAAGTGGTGCGGGCGCGGGGCTGTTGTTTTGCTTTCGGACACAGCTCGCGCATTCAATTACGACTGAACGCGGCTTCTGGTTCCTTCTGTATTTTGAGAGGATTATGCTCCATGTTGCGCCAAATTTACACGCGGTTTGGAGAATTTAGCAGTGAATTATCTAAATACTTGAGTGAGCCGGCGCCTGCAGTTACAGAAATCAACCGTGGTACCGTAAAACTGATTGAAGCCGACAAAAATTTGTCAACAAATTCGTACCGTATGAAGCATTGGAATAAGTCTAGTGCAAATAATTCTGTGTATGTATCTAAAGGTATGGAAGCTTTAAATTTGTTGCGATACAAAAAAAAAACGACTTAGTGTCGAGTGGTGCCATACAGTACCAAACAAGTTTAATGTAAGACAGTCGTTGGATCTGAATATCATTAGACTTAAACGGGTGGCTAAGAACATGAAGAAAAAAGCTGTCTACCGCAGCAATCTTTCTTTCCGTTTGAAGACTTGCCGACGACCGACTTGCCGCCTAGTCCGCACAAGCTAAGATAACGAATGCGTATTCAAAAGATGCAAATGAGGAACTGATCAACATTTTCTATTTATCCGGATTTCGCCCCTCCCGACCTCCTTTTAAATAAAAAATAAAAATAAACAACCAAGAAGCAATGAAATTAACATACAGTAAATGTAAGGGCATGCACTTCAATAAAAGCATAACCATAATGTTACCTCACCCTTCAGACAAAACGCGAAATGATACTTAAAGCTGGTTTTCTACAAGACCATAGTACTTCCCGGAAAAGCCTGCCTATTTGTGCAACTGTCAAAGCTGCTGCATGGCCCTCATCTTACTTATCAAAAATCAGAAACTTTCAGTATGTGCTAAGTATTAACATCTTTACCAATGGCATTCTGACATATTATATCAATATATCTTAATTTATAGTTTTACCTCTTACAGCTGGGCAAAAATACCTCCTTACCATTCATGATCTTTGATAGTAATGACATTTCTGCCCAATCTATATATAATTAACTAATTAAAACATTGGATGTTAAATGTTACATTTTATATAGTAAAATTTTTGCTCAAACACTAAAATCATACCAAATATCACATATTTTGTTTTCTTTTTATATACAAATATACAGTGAGTATACTTAATGCAACCCAACAACTAACATTATTTATGAAATTAAAAAATATCAGAATTAAAATAAGTTAATCATTAAAAAAAGAAAATTAAAACCTTAACAGTGATTTCTTCAGCTGCACAATGTATATGCATGACAGCAGAGTACCCTGCACATATGATGGACTTATGCTCTAGAATCACAACTTGAGCATCAAATATCTGCAAATACAAAACAATTTATAATGTACAGTGGAATCTTAACATGGATCTATGGATATGAATATGAAACTGATATTACTCCATATAAACAAATATATCAAAGAACAACATAATAGTTGGGTTTTGCCATTTCACACCCGTATTTGCTTGTTATAATATATAAATAAGTATTTCTGGTCAAATTTTTATACAATGGTATCTTGGTCCAAACTAAATAAAACTACTTGGTACTATACGTACTAGGACACTTATTAACATACTTTTATTTTTAAATACATATATTACATATGTATTATGCCGTGATAGCTCATTGTCCAGATGCTTGCTTTCAATTTAATATACTCAAGAAACCTGAGTTCGTTCCCTAGTGCTAGCACCAATGCAATTGTTAATTTTAAGTGCCGATTTATCACATGCTCAATGGTGAACGAAAACATCGTGAGGAAATACAGGATTTCGAGTTTTGAAAATAATAACGAAAAAAATAATTTCGAAAGTATGTGAGTCCACCACTTGACAGTAGGGCCGCATGGTGGGCTATTCCCAAATACCCTCTGTAAAGAGGATTCCTTTGTCCAGCAGTGTGACATTTAAAAGCTGCTACTTAACCTTTTTTTTTAGGTATTGCTGAAAAAACTATGTTGCATAATATTTTCCAAGTAGTTTCAGTTGAATCCAATACACTGATGTAACAGATAGTTATTCACTAAGCCAATCAAAGCATCCTTGTATAGTTTCTCCCACCACATACGGTACCATAATCTAATAGTATGCCATATATAGGCCAATTTACATTATTTGCACTGATGAACCCTAAGTGTAATCTAATTTTGTGAAAATTAGTAAGTCTTTGTTGAAGGTCAAATTAACAAGAATTCCTTAAATGTTAAGTGATAAAATGGAATTTATACCATTGGTATAATAGTAAAGTAATATTAGTTGAAATCATCAATAATATTTTTTATTATATTCCTTACTCTGCCAGTGGTGATTGGTTCTGCCGTATCACATAATACAAAACCTGGTGATACATCTTCCTCTTCAATTCCCTTGAGCTTTACTTTCACATTCTCTCCAGACCCAATGGATGTAACTTCAATGTCATCTGACCAAAGTTGATCAACAGTAACTTGCACCTGTATACATATTTAGTAAATTGTATCATTTTTATGTGTTATTTGCTAATGGTAATAATTAATTAGTAAAACAAAGCACACTACTTGTTTAGTTAGATGCTGCAAACTGAAATATTCAAACTTACCCTATTGGGCATGAGAAAGAGAGTGCTGCCCTTCCTTGTTGAGCCAGCTTCCACTTTTCCCATCAAAACAGTTCCCATATCTTTATATTTATCTACAACAGGCATGATAAAAGGCCCATCCATTTTACGATTGAGTGATGGCAAATCATCAATTAATTGAATGAATGACGGTCCTCGGTACCATGGACATATCTCTTCAGATACCTATGAATATAATAACATTGTTAATTCTTATTTGCACAATACTGAGTTTAGTATGGTTGTTTAATAACCAGATCAATTAATTATATCATACTATTTTTATTTTACTTTACTACTATCAGATATGTGATAGCAGTGTCCAGGTGCAAGCCTTTAATTTAATATACTCAAACAACCTAAATTTGATCCCCAGTGCCAATGAAACTGTTGATTTTAAGCAATGACTAATCACATACTCAACAGTGACTGAAGAAACATGCATATTTAGTATATTTAAATAATAACAAAAAATAAAATTTCAAGGATATGTGAAGTCGCCAATCTGGGGCTGCATGCTGGACCAGCAATGGGATATGAATAGGCTGTTACTTTACTACTATTCATTATAATCTATTATATTAGGGTAAGACAAGGTAAATTTAAGAACAAATAACTCACTCTTTCTAACAGGCCTTGTCCAGTTTGCCCTGATACTGGTAAAAAGGACAGATCCTTAGCAGGATTAAAGCCAAGTTTTTTAAGATAAGGTAGAATCTTGTCTCGACATTCATTGTATCTGAAATTTTCATTATTTGTGATTGCAAGTAAAGTAAGTAATAATTTCATCACATATATGGCCACTATTTTAACAGTACAAATTACATTTACAAATTAATATAATAATATAATAGAAATATATAATAATAAAAATTATATTTCAAATGTTTCAAATTGTAAAGTTTTTTTTAGGTTAAAGAAAATCATAGGATTAGCAAGACTAAAAGTAACAGATACCTCTTTTCTTCCCAGGCTACTGTAGGATCATCCATTTTATTTACGAGTGCTACAAGATGTTTAACTCCAGCAGTCTTTGCTAACATGGCATGTTCTCTAGTTTGACCCCCTCTGTCAAACCCCGTCTCAAACTCTCCTTTACGGGCAGAAATAACCTGAAACATATAATAATGAATTATGCATTAGTAATCAACTCTAATTACATATTAAAAGCTGTGATAGCTCGAATTCTGGGCGCTAAATATTAAATTCAATATACTTGAGCATACCAAGTTCAATTCTCTATGTCAGAAATTCTTAATTACAATAAATTTAAAGTGCACATTTATCCTATGTTTAGCGGTGAAGTAAAACATCACAATGAAAGCTGCATATTACTGAAATATTAACAAAAGAAAATATTTGAAAATTTGTGTGTGCCAATAAATAGTGAGGTTGCATGTAGAACTATTTCATAATACCCTTTGTATAAGAAAGGCGGAGAGACATTTGCCCATCAGTGAGACATATATAAGCTCTTACTTTACTTTTTATAATTGTATGTACCTTTGCATCTTTATATGCTTTATTGACCACAAAAACAAAAAGAACCTTAAATGTTTGTCAAAAACATTAAAATTACTGCAGTTGTTAGCAGTATATTCTACAACTATGCACTAGCGATTCACCATAACCATAACAATATAATATGTTCTGCTTAAATTGTGAATATATATGCCTTTTGCTAGTTTGCTGAATTTTATCAGAGAGGCATGAACTTTTCAAAATTTACAACTGTTATTCTTATCTTTGAGCCAACTTATGCAAAAACTTACACAGGGAGAATTTACAAGAAGTACCCAAATTTACACAGAAAGTTCAGACTCGGTAGTATAATCGTTCATTGAAATAAAAAAATAAAAAAAAAAGCTTTTTTTCCAAAAAAATGCCATACTATTCCCTAAAAAACAGAACTTGTTGACAATGAGGTAGTTATTCATAAGTACCTAAATTTTACTGTGCACGCACAAACAAATCGAAGCGCTCGCGACGATAAATCGCAGACGACCCTTCCTCTCTTCCCGCGGCAATCTCACCCGTGCCAAGGTAGGATTTAGTACTATAATTATAGTGTTTGTACTATAATTTGATGCAATGTACTATACACTATCCATATCTAAAGATACGATATCTAAAGGTATGAAAACATACTGTAATTTCATTACTTTACCTATATGACCATTATTATACCATTCACTGCCAATCCAACATTACAAGAAGTTCTTTGGGTTGTAATCACATTGTAAATCGTTAACTTTTTTCAATAGTTTGAACTTCTTGACAAAAACTGGACTTTTTCAATACTCCAGTTTCAAAAACAGTCACTTTGCACTCAATGAAGTAATTAATAGTATGATTAATTTGTTATTTTAATGAAACTGCTGTTCCATTCATATTCAAAATTCAAAGTGATAACAATTTTCTGCGAGTATTGGAGTAAAATCATTTATTTTTTGTGCATTAACTATGAAAATAGTGATACTAAATGGACTCCATTTTGAACAATTGTTAAAAAACCAGTGAGTGTTTTTGTGACTTAATGAATAGGTAAGTTTAATTGATGTATACAGTTGATTCCACTTTTTAAATACGCCATAATAAGTATGAACAATAGTGTGTGATTTTAAAATAATTAAGTAGTAGGTATTTTAGTATTATAACGACCCTTTATTATGACGGTCGTAAGCCCGTTCTAAGTATGAAGGAAAATTTGGAATCATAAACTTATGCTATGATACGCATGTAGTAACAAATTTTAAGTGTGTGCATGTCACAATGTAGACAGATAGGTGTCGACATTTATACGTCGTTAACTTTCTTAAATTATATTATATCAATACACACCAATACAGCAAGGTCAGCTTGTGCCGCACCACCTATCATATTTGGAACAAAACTTTTGTGGCCAGGTGCATCAAGTATAGTAAAATGCTTCTTTTCAGTCTCAAAATATGCTCTTCCCACTTCCACTGTTTTGCCTTTATCACGTTCTGCAAAATAAGTTTAAGCGTATAGAATAAATAAAAAGAAGTCTAGGTATGAAAAATAACATTAACATTTAATGCCTTAAAAGTGTTTGATATAAACTATACCAAACACTTAATAAAACATATAAACTATACCAAACACTTTTAAATTATAATGTTAGTATTAATGGCTACAAAAAAAGTTTTAACATTTTAGTTTGAATTTTAAATACTCTTAAGGTAATTAAATCATATACAAACCTTCTTGGTTTGTATCTAATGCCCAGGATAAGTACCACGATTCTCTTGACTTTTCTCTCGCTTCTCTTTCATATTTTTCCAGTGTTCTTTTGTCTACCATTCCCGTTAATGACATAATTTGACCACCAATTGTTGATTTTCCAGCATCTATAGCAACATCAATTAATTTTAGCAAATAATATATTATATTGTAAACATTAAAACACCATGAAGCAACATAAATTACCCTTAATGAACTTTTATTTCAATTAAGATTCTCTACACATCACAAAATCATTTATATAACGAAAGAAATATGAAAATTTCTAATTTCTATATATTATTCCTGACTAGACTTTTTTTTGAACACCATTACTTAAATAATTCTTCCTTATATTTAAAAATTACAACACTGAATCAGTAAAAATCAGAAATTTACAAATAAAGTTGATGTTTTCATATAAAATTAAATTTTAAAAATTTGTAATGCCATAGTTCTCTATTCACAATTTGTTTAAATGAAAGAGAGAAAGAAAGACTTGAAAAGGGTGTTTCTCGAAATAAGATACCTTTCTTTGATAAATACTTATTTATAAAGTATTATATCATAATGTAATGGTTGTTTTCAAAATATATTAATGCAATCTAATAGTATTGACTACTCTAAACTCACCAACATGTCCAATGAAAACGACATTCACATGTTCCTTTTTACTTCTTGTGTCCTCTACTCTAGGTGGCTTTTTCTTAGGAATCTTTTTTGCACCCTCTTCTCCCTCCTATTAAAATAAATTTCACATTATTATAAATTAAAACTGAATATATAACTGAACAGTGACATGAAAATTTTGCGAATTAATATATATTTAAACTGAAGTAACTAAACAAGCAATTATCCTAAATGATAAAATTGGTACATTTATTATAATATAAACCTTGCTATTCTTAAAACTCACATGTATCTTTAAAAATATTTTTTACAAGGCCAATATAATTATTTATGGAAAGTAATCAAGTACTCTATCACTCAGCTGTCATCGTTGTTAATTCACTCACTTTGCAAACAAAACAAAAACAAATAAGGGTAAATAATTTGATATATGTAACTATAATTTTAAATGCAATTATAATATGTGCATGCTTTTACTATAAATAAAATTTACAGAAACTAAAACAAAAGAATAAATCAAAGATAAAGTAACTTAAAATTAAAAAAAAAAAAAAACATGCTAATTACAGTAGCCTGCACCTGTAGCTCCATATCATCTTCATCTGCTTCATTGTTTTCTTCAGGCGTTAAAAGGGCATCATCAGCTTCTGCATCCCAACTATCAATAGTGGGGGAGGAATCAGACAGGATTGGAAGCGAGATAGCTTCAGGAGCTGGTGCAGGAGGAACAGGGGGTGGTTCTTCAACTCGTGGCGAGGCTGATGCAGCTCCACCATCGCCGCTGTCTCTACCATCTCCACAACCTAAGAGTATAAATAACTATTCCTCATTGTTTAATTCTTGAGATATTGAATATAAAACAGAGGCTCTTATATTCCTTCACTCTAATGGATAGACAACTCAGCCGATGTTCTCTAAAGTTCACTGGCCTTATCATATGAAATGTATCAAGATTATTCCAGGACCCTAATATAAATGATCCCATGAATCTATTAACAGTCATATTATGGTAGTTTATTTAAACTAAAGAGAAGAAAAGTGGGCCAAAATTACAACAAACACCAAAATTTTAAGCAAATTTAAAAATTGTGAAACAGCATAATATCAAAAGTGCTGAAAAGCTTTCATTATTATTTCACAGTGACTCTGGAGTTCACAAAGTGATCCTTTAATTCAGTCAGATCACCCACCAACTTATTTTGAATTTTATTGAGAATCAATTGACAAATACATTATTTCTCTCACTGTCCATAGAAATAGACAGCATTTAGAATATTAAAGTTTTTGTCAATTGCAGTAAACCAGTTTCATTTAACATTTTACGAACCAAGTAAAAGATACAACATTGTTTAATTTTAACTATTATTATACTGTAATCGAAACTAGATAAAAAGATATGGTAAAAATTTCCATAAGTTTCTGGGTGTTTTCGACCAAACAAAAATTTTATTCGGTTAAGAAAAACCACTAATGAAATAATCAACAAGCAGAATTTGGCGGTCGCTTATAGTTTTGGAGAAAAAAAATATTTAAAACTTGTTATTTTCACTAAATAAATCCGCCATTTTGTGTTTGACAACATGTATAAATTTGAGAATTCACACACTTTTCCAAATTATAACCTTCGCATTATTAAAAAAGAGTGTTTATAAATACTAAAAGTACTGTTACACTAAATTTTTCTGGGTGGTTTAAAAAAAAATAACTACGAAGGCTAAGGCTAACCTTCTAATCTTCGCCCACTTCCTATATTTGTCATGTTGACAGTACTGTGTATTCAGTTTTTGAAGTCAAATTGGTAGAATGGTGAACTTTCTTAGTAAAAATTACGTTTTAAATAATTTTTTTTCTCGAAAACTATAAGCAACCGCCATATTCAGCTTGGTAAGTGTTTTATTAATGATTTTTCTGTACCTAATTACATTTTTTTTACGTCGAAAAACACCCGGAAACTTAAGGAAACTAATACCAAAGATATAAAAGCATATATAGCAAAACCATGAAGCACAAAGTGATATTTTAATGTGTAAATTGATATTAATGGGGTATCATCATAGTTATCAATTATGTATTAATTATAGATGTCAATTTGTAGGCTACTTTTAATCCTGTTAAATAATTATAACAGGAAACCATACTGTGTATATAGTTCTGTATTTTTCGTATTTTGATAACTACTTTTAAATTTTATTATGACGTATGACCACATGATAAAACACGTACCGCAATAATATACTATAGTATAACACAGCTTAGAATTTTTATGATAACGGACAAAACTTTATATAACAATAATATTCATAATATGCGGAATATATTTATTTTTGTTTGATTATTAGATCTAGAACAATAAATATTCCAAGTAAAGGTGTAAATTTAGAAAATGTGGTTGATTACGCCCGAGTTAAACGTTAGGGAATAAAAAAATAATAAAACGCACCTTTTGTGTGATCCATTGATGTGTATAAAAAGACTGACTGTATTTTGTATCAGAGAGAAAGTTTAATGACGTAAAAGCAAAAAGCCGCGCGCCGCGTGTCTCGACATAACCCGTTAGAACTGGATTCGGAAAATCAGTTGTCGAATGAACTTTATGTTCGCCCGAATATAATATGTATTTTAATGTTTTAAACATTAAGTATATTGAATATAATGTAGAACTTAACGAACCGGATAATCCTTGGAGAGGATTTTGCACAAAAATAAATAATGATATTCGTCTGACTAACCGTTTAGGGCAGGACTTTCTGCAGAATTTGTAGATTCACTTTCTGATTTTTGTGGTGTGGTGGGTGATTCAGAATTATCGCTATCCTGAGAAGTCTTAAAAGAAGGCACGAACTCCTCGGCATTCACATTCAACGTGGAAAATTTTGGAGACACATCATTGGAATCTTTTGCACCTTGTTCGCCTATGACATCAGCTTGACTTTCCCAAGAGTCCTCAGCACCGTTATTCGACATTTTTAAATACGAGACAGTGTAAAATTACTATATAAGTCTTAATTTTCCACTTATTTTTATAATAAATCGCGTTCTTTTCTCGACAGACCCGCGTGTGTCTTTATCATAGACCGGAAGTTCATGGCAAATTGCCAAATATCAGCTAGCACCTATGTATATAAATACTTCAAAAAAACTAACGAAATTTTTAAATAAATCTATTTAAAAATAATGAAAAAAAATAAGATTGAATTGTTGTAAATTTCATTGATTAATAATAAATCTGTTTCATACTACTTTTAATTAATAGTTATATTTTTGATTAAATATATCCGGTGTTGCTAGAATCACAAATTATATTTAAAAATGTTTGTTATAAAAGCTTTTTACGCTAGTCCCAGACATGTGTGCAAATGTTTGTAAAGATACTCATAGATCGCTATGTGTGGGAGTATATTTTCAAAATGTGCAAATATTTCTTACTTCATTTGATATTTCGTATTTGCTATATTGTGTCGGTTTTTCAACGCACATCAAAGCGAGCAAAGAGTAAATGTTTGTGGATGCTCCTATACATATTGAAACATCCGTTGAACTTGCCAATAGAATGAAAGTTAGAGCGTCGAGGAGTGCATTAAATATCGTAACTAGAATTGAAGGCTAAACTCTTCTTCCTTAGGTCATAAATGCGTGTTTTGATCTCTCTTTGGAGGCGGCGTAACCTGGAGCGACTTGAGCCTGTTCGATATCGATTAAAAGCACGGCTGGCCGAGTTTTTCTGTCCGCAATAGTCGCCTTAGGATTTCGGCAGCTCGAAGTGAAATCATTCACTATCACAATTGGAACTGAACAGTTTCCGATGACTATTTGTAACTAAGTGTAACGTGAGATCGTTATGACGGCGGTCTCGAGTAACTATCCTATCGAGGATATTATGTGCGGGGAGCTTGTGAATTCGAGTGCCTGAACTCACTTTTTTCTGACGGTCACGACTGTCGTTCCTGGTCAACCATTACTTCCAAGGAATATACCCGTAAAGAAACTTTCTTTAGAATATATATGTCTAAATTTCCGGATTTTAATTCAGGTTCTGAGGCACTCTGGTAGGTCCAGATATCTAGGACGGCCAAAGCTAAATAATAAGTTATAATAAATAATTAAAATAACATAAATAATATAATGATACTGCTTCAATCCAATAATCCATTGTATCTGCCCATCTTTGCATATAATAATCCACAATGTTAAGAGAAACAAGTGTAGGAGCCTAAAGATTATGTTCAAGCTTTTAACAAATATTTCTATAAACATTTGTAGACATATCTGGGACCGGCTTTAAAGAATTCTATTTTTATTTTTCTCAAAGGAGCAAAAGCTAATAATTTTTATTCTGAGTGGATTTGTCCCTTATGTAAAAATTTAATTAAAAAATTTACCTAATTATGTGTTATGACAGGAAATAGAGTTTGTTATTCGATTGTTTTTGAAATATTCTGATAAATGTTTTAAAAATTTACCAATGTCTATGTATAGATAGAGTCATAGACTAGAACTAGACGACAAAAGTTAACAACGCAATGGCGGTCGTTCATTTCGTCGAGTTAATAGTTGAATTTATTGAGTTTCCTAGTTTCTAAAATATCATTATAATTTTGCAGCTTCCGTGAATATTTATTTTAAGGTTGCGGATTTTTTATTGAATTCTGCTTCATATTTAAGAATCACGTTTTAAGTTATTTTACTGTAACAGGTTGTGAAGCGTAGAGTGCATACTGTACCAAATTAATGTTTTTCTTAGTGTGGCGACCTTACATCTAAACTTATATTGTCATGTTACATAAAATTACTATTTCTTCTTATTTGTTGAAATGTCTGTACATTACAAGTTTAAAAGTGCATTGGATTACGACACTGTCACGTTTGATGGACTACATATTTCTGTAGGCGACTTAAAAGCGGCAATATCGCAGCAAAAACGAATTGGCAAGACTTCAGATTTTGATCTTCAAATCACTAATGCTCAAACCAAAGAAGGTTAGTAATATTAGATAAAAGTCTTCTCAACTAATGTAACTTTAACCTTAATACTTTGTGAAGGGTTGTATCTGTTTTGTTTTAACTAAATGATTCGATTTGGTAATGTTTGTTCCTTTTTTTTATAAGTAGGTTTCAATTACTGGTATTGCAATTAATTTCAGTGTATGTGGATGATCAAACCTTAATTCCAAAGAATACATCACTTCTTGTGGCTAGAGTCCCACTGTCCCAGCAACCTAAGAAACAGTGGGAAGGTGCAAATTCCAATTCAACATTGCAAAAAGATGTTGCAGTTAATAAGGGATTGGCAGATCTGTCTCGCATGGAAGGTAGCGAACAGGATAAAATAAATGCTATGATATCACAGTCTACTTTTGATTACGACCCTAGCAAGTAAGACTTAACATCTATTCCCTTAATTTTAATGTTTATGTTATAAAGCTGGTAATGAAATGTTAATGGCCTGATAAGCTAATAAAAATGCTTTATCACTCACTTTTTGTGTGTAAGTTCCAAGGGGAAGGCTTTTTTTCAACAAGGGAAGTCTTCGTACTACTGATGATGAGGGTGATGGATAAAAATTGACAAACTTTTTTATTCATTAATAAATATGTAATAATATTTAATTTAATAAATTATATTTCTAAATAGTATTTATTTTAACCTAGATGTCATAGGTACTTAATTTATTCCTCACTGTATTATTTCTTGCTTTTAAATTATGATGTTGCGATTTGGAGATAGAAATTGTTAATAAAGAAGTTGAAAATTTACTCATATTTATGTTACATTTCCTATAAAAGAAATTAGTAATGTTAAAAATTATTTTTAAATTGTTAGTGTTTTTAAGTTTTAATTTTTATCAATTTGTTTGAAATGTATACAAAATAAAATTGATAAAATCTTTTCGCCAGCGGCTCAACCTGTATGAACTATATTTTATATTGTGCATTTAAGCACTGGGATTAGCGAGTTCAATCAAACAAACTCTTCAATTTTATAATATTCCGAATTGCACTTGGCTTAATTTATTTGCCTCTATATATACTTACAATCATCATCATTTTACAGACCATAATAAACTATAGTTTCGTCCAATTCAACTGTAGCTATTATATAGCATTTTAATGCACAAGTCTTTATCATGGTTCTTTAAGTTGATAAAACTTTTTTTATTTATGAATCAATTAAAATAAACACTAAATGTTAAGTTATGCTTACTACAATGCATTAGTGAAAGTTACATCCAAATGGTGTTCAAGCTTTTTCTGAGATTAGTCCGCACATATGCACAGATATTTTTTTTTTTCATTGTTTTGAGTTATATTGCATTAATGTCCCCAATTATAGTTTTTCTCAAATGTCTTCCATGTACAGACAACCAGGTTGAATTTTATCATAATGATTATAATTATTTCAGCCTGTTTTACTCCACTGCTGAACTTTGACAGGATTTAATTTATACATTTTAACATTGATCAATATTGCATTTCGAACTAAATGTTTGTAAAAAAAAACAATGTTTTCTCAAAGAAAAGATCATTCTAAATTATTTTTTGTTATATTCTATTTTTTTTCAATAAAATCAACAAAAGTTTATACTTTTGTTTATCCACTGTAATCTCATCAATATTTTCAGTTACCAAAAAATTAGAGGACAAAATCAGCGGGGTGCTGTTCCTCCTAATTATATTTGTTACAAGTGTCAAAAAAGAGGCCATTGGATTAAGGATTGTCCAGCAGCAATCTCGGTATGTTTATTCATTGTATATATATAATTCTTCTGTATGGGTGTAAGTCACTGAACTCCTAAACAGCTGGACTGATTTTAATTAAATTTTTTGTGTGTCTTCAGGTTGATTTGAGAATCTTTTAGATTCATAATTTGGTCCACTACAATTTTTTTTTATTTCTAAGTTGTTGAATTTAAGTTGTGTACAGGATGTCTGTCCGGTCTGCTAGTGTATTATTTAGAATCAAATCCTTTACACTATGGGGGCATTCACAGTATTATATATACATATTAACATAATGTATTCAAATTTAAATGATTTTAGTCCATGTAGTTAAAGCTAAAGCTTTAATAAATATCAACTACAAATGAGATAGTCTACATCATTATTATGTAATTTCTTTTATTACATGTGAGATTTCCACTACTTTGTTTATCAGCTATAGGAAGATAAAGTTGGAACTATCCTCACAAACCTCATTTGCTTAATTAATAATTAAATACACTGTAATTTCTGTAATAATTAATTTACTTGTTCTTTTTCAGGGAGAAGCCATAGAGATAAGAAGAAGTACTGGCATACCTAGAAGTTTCATGGTACCTGTTGATGGTCCCAAAGCACCTGGAGCCATGATGACCCCAAGTGGTACTTTTGCTGTTCCAGCTGTGGATCAGTAAGAATAAAAAATATTTCTATCATATGATAAATTTCTTACATGCACATGAAATTTCCATGAGATGCTGCTAACTTCTTTAACAGGTTCGCTGCCAGCAATTGAGTTGCTGCCATGTGCATTTTAGTGTTTTATTGTGTGGCTGGCAACACACTGATGCGTTTGGTATAGGTCTATTTTAAAAAAAAAACATTGCCCTCACTTTAGGATAACAGTATCCTGTGTTGTAAGAACGTTTTACAAACATAAATTGCACGAGGACAAACACCCACATCTGAAACAACTATCTCGCACAAATAGTTGCCGAAGCCGCGACCCCCGACGCCGAAGCCAATACCTTGGCAACTGCGCCTCAGAGTCATCATAGGTGGTGTTAAGAATCTTTTTTTACTGTTGTATTCACGAGAATGTTACTTTCCTACCATTATTCATAACAAATATTTCATCTTGTAACACAGTTACTGTACAATTGAAAATATCATTTGTCAAAATGTTTATTTTTTTCATTCAGATTGCTGAGATACAAGAGATTATGCCGTGATTTTCATTTAAAGTTCTAACAATGATGTATTAGTTTTTCAGTTAGAGAATAAGTTTAATTCAACTAATTTACTTCTCTTATATTATATATTTTTCATTTTCATTTTTTTTTGCCATATGAGCAAAAAATTTTAAGGATGCATACTGTGTTTGGCACATTTTTAGTACCGTTGTTTATGCACATAGTGATGTTGATTCCTTGATATTGAGAAGCTTGCAACCTCATCATTTATATAAATTTGTACTTCTTTTTGCTGAAACAACATTTATCATGAATCAACAATATGGGTTTACTAGGGTAAACCAATATTGCTTTCACTCTTTCAGTCCATAGACTCCTGGTGGAAGTATTTTGACTATCAATAAGTGAGTGTAATGCCCCATGTTGAATAAAGATATTTGAATTTGTACGAAGTAATAAAATATTACACCTCTTTTAAAAAAATACATGTAACATCACATCGGGGCTGTAGTGACACGCTGGAAGGCTTAGACTGGCGGCAATTAGAAAGCCATTGGTAATTCATCCAAATATAAACAATTTTAAACAAAAAAAAATTGAAAGTATTGCAATTGAAAATATTTTTTTTTATAATTTTAATCAATATCATTAACATTATTATATATATACAGCAACCTAGTATATGTTCAAAAACAATTTTATAAAATAATTAACAATTAAACAAAATTTTATAAAATATAATTTACAACCTGTAGGCATATTTGTTTACAGCTTGGAAATTCTAGTCAAGGTCAATCTCACTTGGAACCTTCTAGTAATAATTCAAAACATACATAGACTTACGCCTTGTGGGCTGTGACTGCTATGTAAACTTAAAATGGATATCAATTGAAGTGCATCTTAACATTTGAGTTTTTCTAAATTGTATTTGAATATTTAGTGCACAAGTCTGTACTACTTCAGTGTCTAAAGACATGATACCTGGTTATTCGTTGTTGTTCTTATTTTAACAAACTTCTTCTTTATTTAGTGAGGCTTATTTGGCTTCGGAGAGTGCTGGGGGTGCTGACACACCAACCAATGCCCCAGCCGCACCTGAGCCGACAATTCCAGATGAATTAATCTGCAGTCTTTGCCGTGATCTGCTAACTGATGCTGTTATGATACCATGTTGTGGAAACTCATTTTGTGATGAATGTAAGTCCCATATATTACCTGCAGCTTGGAGTCAGTAAAATTAATGTTTTGTTTAATTTTCCCTATAACTGGTTCTTGGTTATTTTTGGTTTACTCATAAAAATTATAAGATATAGAATGTAATTTTAACAAAATGTTATATGTATATATATATATATTGTTCATTTATTGTCGCGATGGTAACGACACGCTGTATGTATATATATATATAGTACCTGGAGGACCGAGGACCTGTTTTTTTTTTTGTAAATCGTGTATTTTTCGATCGTGATCGGTGTAAATGATCGTGACACGAACCACGGCCGTCTGTTTTGTGGCCGCCCGATTACCGACGGAGCTATTATAACATTTTCTCTTGCGGCGAAATTTACATGATTATGTATATTCGAATGATATTTTACATTCCCTGAAAACAGGGATAAAAGGACATTTTCTAAAAATGAAACCTAGATAGATCGCTTTTTCGCCCCCGAATCTACACACATACTAAATTTCATATACACATATATATGAATTTTAAAGTTATATTCTACTGTAACATTTTTTAACAGGTATAAGAGGTGCTCTGTTGGAATCTGAAGATCATGAGTGTCCAGATTGTAGAGAAAAAGAAATTGCCCCAACAACATTAATACCAAACAGGTTAAATTTATCTTTTACATATTCATCATTGATTGATGTTTTATATAATTTAAGAGCTGTTATCCTCAAACATCTATTAAAATTCGAGAATAGTTATGATTTTGTATTTGATTTACATCAAATCTTTTTTTAGCTTTTTGTAGCTATTTTTACTGTATCTACTGTTAAGTGTATTCAGGTAAATCCCCTATTATATAGTATTTTAATTGGCATTCTAGGAATGCAGCTATGGTTTTCAAAAAGCACTACCATTTTTTATCACAATTATTTAAATTTACAGTAGTATATATTATTCCTTAAATGTTGAGCTGTGATAACTCAGTGTCCAGGCGCTTCTTTTTAATTCAATATACTCGAGCAACCTAAGTTCAAATCTGGGTGATGGCACCAATAAAATTTTTAATTTTAAGTGCTAATTTATCACATGCTCCGCAATGAAAATATCGTGAGCAAACCTGCATGTATTTGAAATAATAACTAAAAAATCTTCGAAGATATCCGAAGTGGTGATGCGTGTATGCCCTATTAATCTCTGTACAAAGGAGGTCGTTATACAGCAGTGGCACTTCGCCTATATTTGAGCCTGTTTCTTAAATATTTTTCCTTAAACTTTAGGAAATCACTCTTAGAATTATATAATTAGAATAATCATGTTGCTGCATGAAACCACCTTCATTTTCATTGGTCTATTTTTAGCCATTCCTTATAGTCTTGTATTAAGGCATCCTCTTAAAAACTTCATCATATAATTTCCTTCTTTACTGCTATGAAATTTTTAAAGGTTACAGTAGACATGGTTAAAACACATTGCATTATAAACGATGGAAGAATGTTACAAGACATAATACAGGGTACAATAAAGTGACTAGTAGTATCTGATCTTTAAAGTAAAGTTTTATCAGTTTTATGAGACAAACATATGTTTGTAGTTTTTGATACATTATTCAAAGTCTCTTAATGATCAAAATTTTATTTTGTTTTCAGATTTCTGAGGAACTCAGTGTCAGCATTCCGTAACCAAACAGGCTACAGTAGGAGGATGCCGCACCGACCATCTGTTGCTCCTGTACAAGCACCACCCCCAGTAATTGGTCTGTACATCTGGATATAGAATTATATAAATAGAAATTAAGTATTTTATGCTAAGACTTTTTTGTGTATTGTCACCAGAAAGGCAAAATTACGTAAACGCCGAACATTTATTTGGCGGTTATTTATTTATTTTAAATCTAAAAGTAGTGATGGTATACACCCATCACAAATTCACGACACACAATTTAATAAGAATGTCTATTAAATATTTTGTAAATGCTCTCATTCAGATGCTCAACCAGCAGTGCCCCCAGTGCAGTTAGTAAATGGACCCTTATTGCCACCACCCGCTACCGCTGGTAAGTCATTTTTTTAAGTACAAACAATACACAAAGCACTCATAATCATCATGTCGTTGTTAATAGTGGGCTCGGTGCATGTTGATATAAATTTTGTTTGTAGTAGGTATTTGTCATTTAAAAAAAGTCTTCAGAGTTTTAAATTCCTACAATCTATTAATGGCCTTTTGCATGCCAAAGCAGTACTTCTATTGTAATATGTAAGTTTGCTTTTATGCTCTTGTGTTCATTACAAACATATTGTAATAGGTATTGCAGCATTTATAGATAAAGGCTTCTAAAGTTATCATTTTGAAAAAGCTGAATTACTTTTATTTGTCCAAAAGCTGTATAACTTCTAATTTATTAATTTTACATTTAGTTCTTTTCGCATTCACACATTATGTGTAATACTGCTTTATTTTTAACTGAAAAAATAAGTAATTTTAAAATATAAAACTTTAATTTGTTGTTATAAATGATTTAAGAAGTAAGAAAAAAAAAGTTAAATTAAAACGGTATTGTTTAAAATGCATTTAGATAAATATAATTGCTGCATCAGTGTAGCTATGATTGGTTTAGTTTCGTTAATTAAATGTGAATGACCGTGTCGGAGCGGATAAAGGTTAACATGTCACGAGCTGCGTACCTTTGACGTAGATGCGGTACGGGGTGGTGGGGGAGGTGCGGGCCGAGGGGGCAATGTGGCCTATGGGGGCAATGGGGGCGCCGCGGGCAACCGGGGCGGTGGGGGTGCAGCCGACTGCGGCTCGGAGTCCGAGGGCTCCGGCGACGATAACATTGTGGTGACGGTGCCGCCGGCGCACCACGCGCACGCGCACCCTCACCCGCACCCGCACCCGCACCCGCACGCTCACCTGCATCCGCATCCGCACCCGCACCGACACGCCAACATGCACCGACCGCCGCGTATAGGTACACCATTACACTCACACCCGTTCAGACAAACTCACGCGTAAACGTACACGCACACAATCACATAACTATCACACGAATGTTACAATTTTGTGTTATTTTTTTTGCCTCGTTTTAATTTATCGTACTGTCATGTCATATGTCTCGTGTTTGACATGATGTTTATATCGTATTTTAAATGTATGAAATTGAAAATAAAAATTGGTCAATAAGAGTTGACTTGAATGCATCACATTATATAAAAGTATTTGATTTAATTAATTCTTAAATTCTAAATATGTGGAGTGAATTTTATTATTTTCAAAATTGTAGTGCTTTTTATATTTATTTTCTTATTCCGAAGGACCAGAAAGAGCCATGCTTCTTCCTAACCAGATGTCTTCTTTTCAATTGTTTCAGGACCACCGCTAGCCATTAAACAACCCAACATTGAGACTCCACCAATGAATGTAAGTATTTATGAGTAGTAGTCGTTCAACAATTTATTTAAACTTTTAATATGTGCATTATGAATTTCCATAATTATTATGGACACCATTTTATTATATCAGTGGCGCAAAGCTAATATTTTTTTTATGTAAGAAGGTGGCAAACGAGCTCGCGGTTCACCCGATGTTAAATATTAACCACAGCTCATTGATATTTCCAATACTCGTAGACGCATTCAGTGAGGTCGTAGTACTTACGCAATGAAGGTAATTTAAATTATAATAATACATTAGTCCTTGTATATCACGTGTCCTCAGCGGCGAAGGAAAACATAGTGAGGAAACGTGCATATTTTCGAAATTAAAAAAAATATTCCGAAGATAATTATGTGAAGTCTGTCCATCCGCAGTGGGGTCGCTTGGTGGACTATACCCTATGTCCAGAAGAGGCCTTTCCCCAGCAGTGTGACTTGTATAGGCCGTTACTTTACTTTCTTTATTTGTTAAAACATTTTTATGTTTTATGATGGTGAGCTAAGCTACGGTTCTCCTGATTTAAAATGGTGTCCGTCATCCATGAACAACACCTGTGTGGGTATAGTGTACATTGGTGAGTGACGTATTCAGTATGAAACTCAAAAGTATTATAAACTTCCACTTCACAGTGGTTTACTGAGAGATCGTGATACTGTCCCAGACGAGCCAACCAATTCATTTAACAGGAAAAATAGCTGCGCGCATCACAGAGTAGAGAGTTATATTGATCTAATAAATCACAAAGTTTTAGAAGCGTAAAAACATGTAACAATAAAATAACAACTGAAACAAAGCCGCAAAACTTGAAAATTAACGTTGTAAGTTTCGGCTTAACTTCAATTACATATGAAATAGCCGTTCATCAGTACTGGCCATTTCAAACCAAAAAATATTCTGTTTGGCTGTGAATTCTAAATACAAATTAATTTTGTTTTAAAAACATGTAATTCCTTTTACAAAGTCAGTCTTTTGTTTATTGTTGTGCTTTGTATTTTCATTACATTTGAACATTTTTCGCCATAATGTATAGTTAAAAAATTGTGTAATTATGGGATGGGATGTGTAAATTGGTATTATACAGGCGCACACTTTGCCCCACCATATCACTACACCATAATTTAATTAGACATGAAAGGTCACTATAAGCTTAAGTATCGATCACGCGTTCTTTGCTTTATAGAAACAAAGATTTAATGCATAAATTTTGTTTGCACACAGATGGCGAGGCTTGACGAGCAAAGGGCCAGCACGCCGACTATCGACGAGCGACGGGACCCGATGTCGTCGCAGGTCGGTCTGGCTTACCCTTTTGGTTAGGGAAGGTAAACAGTATGCTGTATCAAATAAGGTTCTTAACCTATTCAATGGCAGCCCGCTGATTAAGGGCAATGGACAGCCCCGTCACGTGAGACTCGAAAGGGGTGGGGGGAGGAGGTGAGGGGTTTAGCAGAAATACCAGAACGGGGGATGTGGGGTTTAGTAACATATCACGTGTATGTATTATTTTTCGTCAAACCCGCGATTTCTAAACCAAAAAGCAGGTTGTACGAAGACTTCGCGCGCCGCAACGTCCGCCCGGCTCGACTTGCCAGTCGCCAGTTATTGTGTTATTTTGGCTAAAAGATAATATTCTAAAAATTTCAAGACTCTTAGTAGCTACAAAATCTACCAGTGGTTTGGGTGGGGGAGGGTTTAGTCTTCAACCACCTTCACCACGTATCATCAAGGGGGAGGAGGGGGTTAAAAAATGCTAAACCAACAACACTTGTTTAATGGTCCCCTAGGGACACGATAACAAATTCGTTACTTTACTCGTATCGCTATGTTTCGATTCGATACTAGTACTCTAAGTTCGATACTGCCTTTGGATATTTTGTGCTTTGGTGACTGAACAAAACTTTGTAGCGTATGCATGGGTAGGCAGAACGTGAACGATTAGGGACACGATATCGATATATAATTAGTGAATACATTTAGCTTTGCGTCTGTTTGGTTATTGATGTCAAGTTTTTGTTGTTTGGGGTGCTTAATGCACGTGTAGTAAGTATAATTCATTTGTATTTATAGTATAAGTTAAGCCAGTCTTATTGGATACATACTCATATTGATACTGATACTATATCGGAAGGTATCGATACTTTTGGTTGCGTGCCCACTGCTGCTGACACTGACTGAGTGCTGCCTATGTTTCCATAAGTAAACTATGTTGCGTTGAGAAATTATAAAGTGACATTGATTTCGTTCAGTCTGATTCGATTCGATACCAAGTACTTTCGTTTCAATATAAAGTAAGAATTGAAAGATTGATTCGATGCTAGGAGTACTTGGTATTGAAAAAAAAGTTTTGAGTACTTACTCGTATTTACTTGTATCGGAATATCCCTAGATTAATCTAGTCAGAAATCATGTCAGAGTCATGTCAATATGTCAACGGATAAACTTCAAATAAATTAAACCGATACCTATACTCGCAATTCATTGCTCAGCCTCAATTTCAAAAACCAATATAACACCGATTCGCACTAAAAGAACATATAGAAAAATATGCTGCTTCTATTCATGTGAAGCGGTGTGGGTATGTCACTGAAAAAATTAAAAACAATAATCACGTTTATTCTGTTTACAGGTAGTGTTCAATCGAGGACCTCCGCCTTTTATACCAGGAGTTCCGCCGCCAACTCAACGTTACCCTAAGTAAGTATAATGTAAAATAATATAATTTACAAAGAAATAATTTATATACAGGCAGTCTTTTCTAAGCGTATCCATATTTTATTAAATTCTAGACATAAATAATGTTATATAAAAAATGATAAATATTTAAAATCACTCGTAAGTAATTGATTACATTAATTTTAACTTATCTCAAAATGTGCGTGATTTATGGGCAACTCATTTATTTTACGCGCGATCATTCACACAAGTTTTTTTCAAAAGTATACGAGCATAAATGTCGACACCTATCTATCTACATTGTGACACGCACACAACTAAAGTTTGTTACTAGCACAAGTGTATCATAGCACAAGTAAGTTTATGATTCCAATTTTCCTTCATACTTAGAACGGGGGGCTTAGGACCGTCATAATAAAGGGTCGTCATAATACTAAAATACTAGTTTATTATTTTAAAATCACACACTGTTGTTCGTACTTATTATGGCGTATTTAAAAAGTGGAATCGACTATTTACAACAATTAAACTTACCTATTCATTTAGTCACAAAAACACGATTTTTTTAACAATTGTTCAAAATGGAGTCCATTTCTCTCAATTTTGTATTGAGCTGAGCTGAGCTGAGCACGCTTTCTCAAACTATTTTGTAACATTACTTGTGTCTGAGCATTATATAAGCCGGTGTAGTAAATTGTTCAAAATGTAATAACCTTTCGTTGGCTGCCAAAATCGTCCTTCGATTAGGTACACTTGAGTTCATTGCCCGTCTTTTTAAACGCGGTAAAGAGTCACTTTCATAAAGAATTAACATTTATATGTACATGAATATATGAACATATAAATGTAAATTTTTTTTAAACTGTTAATTAATTATGTACATAATAATAAAGAAAAAATATTTTAATAAGTATGAGATCTTTTAACGTTTTAAATAAATACTGGCCTGAAACAATAGGGCACTGCGTTATGTCGATTTTATTTGATGATTGGTGTGTCGAGTTACCAAGGGTCAACGTATAACCGAAATGTTGTTCCCAGTCAGCCCTACGGACGCCACGGGCCGCAGGGTCAACGTTTCGCGGACCGATACAGGCCCCCTCTCGAGCCCTACCAACCGCCGCCGCCAGGCATCAAGGATTCTCCCACTAACGGGTAAATATTGTCAATCTTTTAACGGGGTTTGTGTGAATTTATCAAATTGCATAGTTACTCATAATATTACATCTTTTAAAACTCAAAATTAGTCAGTTTCATTAGTATTTCTCGTGGGTTCTAAATTATCATTGGCTGGTTCACTATGATCACACTGTTTTGGGGCTTCATTGTAACACTAGCGGTAATTTGAATGGTTTCCTTATCTTATGTCGTGTGTCGTTTGTATCGAGGGAAGCATACCCACTTACTATGGATCATTAAGTCTGTTAGATTACACCGTTTTCCAATACGTCGGCAGTCTGTTGATGGAGTGTTTGGACTCAGGCACGGCGAGGATCCGCTCGAGGCGTTCAACCGGATGATACGCGAAAAGGAGATGCGTGCAAAGCGACGCGAGGAACAGCGCAGGCGGGCGCAATCGGGCTCGAGGAGCGCGTCGAGATCGCGGACACCGCGTTCGCCGCGCTCGCCGCGCTCACAGCGCTCGCCTCGCTCACCGCGCTCGCAACGTTCACCACGCTCGCAACGTTCTCAACGTTCGCCGCGCTCTCCACGCTCGCCCCGTTCGCCGCGCTCGCCTCGAGTGCGTCCTCGCAGCCGCGGCACAAGCCGACTCCGTTACTCTAGGTTCGTTGGCTGTATTTATTCCTTCTATTCTACGAATAGCGTCCCATTGTTCCTTTTGCACGTTTGCGCTTTAATTTTTCCCTATGTCTTAAATCTATTGCTGAATTTACGTCCCTCACAAGTAGCGTATGTCTTATTTTTTCAGTATATTTGTAGAGTAATAGTGCAATATTATTAAAACATTATCATATACTTATAATATTAAGCATACTATCTGTAGATTTGTTTTAAAAGTAGTTTATTTAAAATAGCTAATTATTTATATTTTGTTGTTTATACTGTAATATTTTATTTTTCTTTGTTGATTGTATATATGATTCTGGTATACTGTCAGCATGGGGGAGATTTTAGTGCGTCACTGCTCTCCCGACTTCGTCTCACGCAACTGTTCTGCTTACTACTCAGTGAATATGGAACCCATTACTGCACTTCTTTTACTTCAATAACTTTTCTTCATGTTTATTGTCACATTTCTTTTCACCTTGTGTTTATGTTGGATCATTTATTTGTGTATTTGTTGCAAATTGCAGAAGTTTTTGTTTTATGTTTTCTTTCCTCTCCAACTTCAATCATCTTGATAATTGTGATCGGAATTTTTTGTACATTGTTTTGCCTTTATTTCTTTTTTATTTGTCAACTTTTTTACATACCTTAACATAAATTTTTGGCCAATAACCCTCGAAAAATATAATATACTTGTCTTTTCCCTTCGAATATTGCTGCTAATCTTATTTAACGACTCCAATCAAATTTCTCAAGGTTAAAACGTAACAAACGGTGTTGTTTATCACTAATGGTGGACACATTTTTTTTTCATAAGAAAATGTAGTTTTCATGTTAAATATCATAATAAAAAATTTAATTTTAAATTTAAATTAATTTTTAATACATTTATTATTATTATTGAAATTTAACTTTGCTTGCATGTAAAACTGACATCGAATGAAGTTTAGCCGAAATTTACGTTTATTTTCAAAAGTTTTGCGGATTTGTTGTCGGTTGCTTTTTTATTGTTAAATGTTTTTACGTTTCTAAAACTAGTATTTATTTGATCAATATAAGCTACTACTCTGTGATGTGTGCAGCAGTTATTCCAGATGTTTTCCTCACGATGTTTGCCATCACCGCTGAGCACACGTGATAATTCAGCATTTAAAATTGTCAATTTCACCGGTTCTGCGCCTGGACGCTGTCGTATCACGGCTTAATGTTTTATTAAATAATGTTTTAACTCAAGCGTTTCATCAATTACAGGTCGCGTTCGGCGTCACGCGGGCGTGTCCGTCGCTCGCCCTGGTCGCCACGTCGCAGGCGTACGCGCGACCGTACGCTGTCCCTAACGCGGTACGCTGCAAACTGCACCGAATTACCCGTGTCACAAGTTCCACATTGCCTTAGAGACAGATGATGGGAATTACGAGTTTCAGTGGAATACTACTTTTATTTTTAGTGTTGTAACCTTTCTTAAGTGAAAACCGCCGATCGTGGACATCTGCATATCAGTAGAATTCAGATGAGTTGCCACCTTCTAATAAAGTGGCCTCGCCTACCTCACTACGAAACAGAAGTATAATAGTTCCACCTAACGCCGGTCTTCTGTCAGGCCGTGCTTCTTGCTACGAAATTGATCTATGGTCTATATTATATATCTAATGTAATATTAGAGACTGCCACGCGGTGTTATTCACAGAATCAGTATCCTACAAATACTCCCCGGAGCTCCTGTGGTCAAATCAGTCGGCTCGTTTCCAGCTCGCCGTCGCCGCGGCGCCGCCACCGGTCTCCGCTGCGCTATCGCTCCCCGCTGCGGTCTCCGGGGCCTCGGTCTCCGGGGCCTCGGTCTCCGCTGCGGTCTCCCGGTCCCCGGTCTCCGCTGCGGTCCCCGCTGCGCTCGATGCCGCACTCGCCGCTGCGCTCGCCGCACCGTGCGCCGATCCGCTCGCCGCCGCCGCGACCCCTGTCGCCGCATAGGTCAGTACATTGCTGTTTTTTTTTTATGTGAGAAGGTTGCAAGCGAGCTGGCAGTTGCATTTGCAATACTCGTCGGGTTGTAGATGCGTTGTCACCTTCTATTAAAGGGGGTTCCGGCCACCTCACTAATCGAAACGCAGAAGTATGACACTTACACTTTACGCCGGTTTTCCCTGTGGACGTGGCGCTTAACCGGATAGACTAGTACCGTCTTTACCATAATGGCACACGGGGCCCGTGCCCAGGGCTCCTATCGTCAGGGGTGCCCTGCATGGCCTACGTATTTGCTTAAATGTTTTTGTCATTCACCTTTTTTTTCTTTCCATCAGGGCCCAATATGGCCCAAGACGGCATTGGATGGACCTGCCAATGTTGCAACAGCAAAGACTGTTGTGTTGCCCTACCACATTTATTATGCTAATACCTTTATTCTGTGTGGAGAGCATATAGAACCCACTACTAATCTGACCTATCTTCAGTAAGTATACTGATATTGGGAAGAATATACTAATACTGAGCCCAAGATATATAATAGGTAGGGGGAAAAGTTTCTTCGCATTTTATATGAAAATTCAAAACATTTTCTAAAAAAGTTTATTTACATTTAACTAAAGTATGTAGATGCCATTTTGTTCGATAACTTTCTGCCATCTTGTAGGTAGGGACATGATCTCATTGCTATAGAAATCCTGGGACTTCTGATAAAAAAAACCGCGACAAGTGGTTTTGGCAGCCCTCCCGTGATGTTAATCTGACACTGCCTAAAGAAATCTGAAGAGACAGAAACAAGAAGAAATCTGAAGGTGCACGGTTAGGACTATACGGCGGATGCATTAACTCCTCACAGGCAAACTCTCTTAATTTTTGCTGAGTGGCTAAAAATGTGTGAGGTCTAGCGTTATCACGATGAATAACCACACTCCTTCTGTTAATTAATTTCGGCCGCTTTCTCTCAACTTTTTGCTTTAATCACATCAATTGTTCACATTAGAGTTCAGAATCAATGGTCCTGATTGGCGGTAACAGCTCTAAATCAATAATGCCCTTCCAATCCCACCATACACACAGCATTACCTTGTTGCGAGATAACCCGGGTTTTACCAGAGGCTGTGCCAAGCTTGACCAGTTTTTGACCACGCCCTTTTTCTCACGTTCTTGTCTTACGTGACAGGTTTTTCAAAAATGGTTCGGTTTCATTACGTCGTAATAAAGAATCACAAATTAGTTCATGGTTTCTTTCAGTGAGCTCATGAGGCACCCAAATATCGAGCTTTTTTGTGTACCCACCTTTTTTCAAATACGCCAAAACTGTTTTCTGGTCAATTCCCAGTTCTTCAGCTACATCGAAACTACTGATATGCTGATCTTGCTCCACTTTTTCAAAAATGGCATCCATTTTATCCGTAACAGGGCGCCCAGAGCGAGGTTCATCTTTGACATCTAAATTTGCGGACTGAAAACGCTTTAACCAAATTTGTGCTACTCTCACAGACACTGCACTAGGTCCATAAATGTCACAATTTTTTTTCGCGGCTTGCGTTGTATTTTTAACAGTAAGAAAAACAAATGAAAATCACACATTTCCGTAATTTGAATTTGGAATTATCTTTTTTAAAATTTAAACTTTAATGATACCAAAACCAGCCAGATACAAATGGCATAGCCAAAGTGATTATATTATAAGTACATACATACTATTTGCGAAAAGAGTTTTTCCCCAACCTAATACTTCGGGATCTGCCTTTTCTGCAAATTTCAATCTTATGTGACATACTAGAAAGTAATTTGCAGGTGTGTGGTAGGGCCACGCAGCAACCTTGGCTTTTGCACAAATGGGCAGGTCCGTCCGGGTAAGTACCACGACCTCACAGAAGACTGACGTCAAGTGGAAGTATAATATTTTTGCGTTTCGTCTGGTGAGTGAGGTAGCCGGAGCCCAAAATTCAAAAGGCACCCAGCACGCATCTGCACCCTCGGGTGTTGCATATGCCGATGAGTGTTGGTATTCACTTAACATCAGGTGAACCACTTGGGCTCCCGCCGGATAACACTACACCCACAGTTAGTGTAACAACAATCACACCAGTTCGCCCTCGCCTCCGAGCACGGCGAGACCCACACAACGCGTACACAAGGTACACCCGCGTTCCGGGGCGGTTCTCACCGCTCCCAGCCACCGATTAGCTAAATGCACAGTCGACGGCCGTCGGGGTCTCGGTCCGAACCGGCGACCTCGACGGCCCTTAGATGACACACCATAGTAGTTAAACGCACGCATGAGCACATGCGCGACCCTACCCATAGCGGAGGGTCCAAACCCGTGGGTTCTGGCTAGCCCACCGGTTCTGCGTCCGATGAAGCTTTAATAGTCTCGGGACTGAAAGCAAAAACATCAGTTAATACAAGATACAAGATACCACTTGCGAACCTTATTAACTTTGCATTGCTACAGGTACTAGATTCAAATATAATTTAATCTGTTTTCTGTGTTCTTATCGTGATCTGGGAGAAAGTTGCAAAGTAATATGTCCATATAAAGGATTCGTCCGTTGTCAACAGGTACGCCGGAGTATATGACGAATTGTTATCGCCACCGCGTCGTAGTGTTGAGCCGCCTTACGGACCCAGGTACGATTGTAACAGTTTAAATAGTGTCGTCCAAAGGCGCCATTTGCCGCCGACTAAATCGGCCCGTCCCCACGTCCGCCTAACTCGATTGCCGTGCGGATCGAACCTGCGTTCGCGTAGCCAGTGTCTGTTCAGAGACGCGGACTCGGATGTTTTTTCTGGCGTTCTCCTATCTATAGTTTCCGTCTTTTGAATATTGTATATACGGCTGGTATTGTTCCTTGTACGTTTGCGATTGCGTTTGCGTATGTGTCAAGATTTGCGGTGCAATACGATTAGTGTTGCCGGATGAAAAGCTATATACAACCTCGAGCAACAATGACGGCGTTTTCTTCACGAGTCGCTGCTGCCGTAAGCTAGTTTTAAGCAATTAATTTAACTTTGTTACGTAATTTTTATGACTGATATTGTAAACAATGCGAGGCTCATGTATTTAATTAGTATAAATGTTGTTATATATCCGTCCGAAAATATATTTTCTTTTGGTCATAGTGATGCCACTTTTTTATATACATTAATATATGAAATTGAAAATATAAATTGTAAAGTAAAGGTTGATGAAGTGTAAAATAAAGTCTTAATTGTATATGTAATATAATTGGCACCTTTCTGAATAGGTACAATTTGTATGCTTGAATATTCAATGAAATAAAATAAGTCGATTTGTACCACTTAAATGTTGGCAATAATTTTTAAAAGTCATAATAGGTAGGGGTTTATAAGGTATGATTATTTGAAGAAGTAATTTTAAGATAGAGACACTTCACATTGTTTTTTATACCAAAGTTAATGTTCCCTAAATTGCTTAGTTTTTAAGTTTATTAATATTATTCATGCTCCTTGCGATTATTCGTAAGAGTTTTATCGCATATTCTTTAAATCAAATCTCAGTTTGTTCTCGTTTTTTAAATGTTCTGTAGTTATAAATCACATTATACTTAAATTATTTCATTATAAATAAATGTTTTTATAATGTAAGGGCTAAATATAAGTTAATTCCTTACAATATAGTCTTTATATATGATCATAATAAAGACTATATTGTAAGATCTTTATATATCTTTATATCTATTTCCAATAATAATTATAATGATATCAAGGTCAGCTATAACACTATCACAATTGAAATATATTTTTTTAGTTAGTTGGCTAGTTTAATATTCAATGCATTTAGAATTTTCTTCCAAGAAATTTGATATTTCGGGTAGGTGTATGTGTATTGTACAGCAGCAATTGCTAAAGTGGGTTTTGTGAAGGGAGAGAAATATAATTAAGAAATGGGACAAAGGACTTATTGAAAAAACCGGTACTGTTCTTATTCTGTTTTGTGTATCCAAAGTTCTTGATAAAGCGTAGAAAAAAGTCCCCTCAGTAAATTTGTTCTAAAAATAAATGTGTAGTAAGTCAATATAAACGAGTCGTCACAATTACAACTGTCTGACATAATACTAAAGTACGGAACAATTATTAATAAAACTATGAAACAATTTCATTCTGTACACTAATTGCAAAAGTAGATAAAGATATCTCTCTAAATACAATAAAATACCTCACTTATCCGGGGTACACATTGGAAAACTCCTTTGTGCCCCAAGCTGGAGATTGTGTGTATGTTAGGGAGGATATCTGCTCTAGTCGTCTCAGCAGCCTTGAAGGTTTGGACCTATCTATCCATCATATGACTGTTTAGACATCGACGACCGCCCTCGCGTGCCTTTATAAGTCTCATAGCGGCAATACCGAGACAGCGACAGATCAATCACGTCCAAATCGGTACAGATTATGTGCTCCAACAGATCCCAACCGCAGAGACCGTGATCCTTGGTGATTTTAAAGCCCATCACGTCGACTGACTCGGCTCATAAACTGCCGATAATGCGTGGTGGTATGGACACGACTTTGCCATTGCGAATAATTTTACACAGCCGATCACTATGTCTACGCGGATCCCAGATGTGTTAAATCATTCTCCTCCCCTGTTGGACCTTCTGCTGACCAGTCATCCGGACTAATATCAGGTTTTTTTAGATGCCCCCTTTAGCTTATCCGACTACTGTCTGGTCCGGAGTGTAGTGCACATCGCGCGCAGAGCACTTATTCGCTTTACGGGCTTCCGCCGTGTTTGGCATTACAGGTCAGCAGATTGGGATGGGATGCGGTCCTTCTTTACAACTTTTCCCTGAGGCAAGGTTTGCTTCTCACTGGATGATCCCAGTGGCGTCGCTGACTCTGTCGCCGATGTTGTACTTCAGTCCACAGTTCGTCGCTTCTGTAAAGCAGCATCTCACCATAAGCAGGAGAGTTATCGGGCCTGGACCGTTGAGGTGGCGTCTAGGGATGTAAATTCCAGTCACTTTAAAAAGTAGTACAACTTTGTCTCTTGGTCCTTCAAAAGAGCATTAGCATCAGCAATGTGAGAGCACATTGGCAAAATTAGCGAGAGATTAGTTAACCTTCCTTAGGGAACTCGTGCATTCCCGTCTCTCGCCAAGGCTATTTAAGAAAACTTCTTTCCGCCATATTTTCCATCTCTGACTCGTTGGCCAACACTGCTGAAGAGAAGGCGGAACTTATGGGCCCTCTTCGCGTCTAACTCAATGATAAGGGGAACACACCGCCGACCATCAAGAGGTTTGAGCACACACTGCCAGAAATTAGGTTTCTTCAGAGCACAGTGCGTAAATCACTCTTCTCCTTAGACATCAAAAGTCGAGCGGGCCAGACCGAATCCTTCCCATTGTGTTAAGGACGTGTGCTCCACATTTGCCCTTACCTCTTTGTTCTCTAAAATAATCGAGTCTATTATAAACTGCCAGCTCCTGGGGTACCTTTAGGAGCACCAGCTCATTAGCAATCGTCAGTATGGTTTTCGTCGTGATCGCTCAGCTGGTGACCTTATAGTGTAACTAAGAGAAATGGGCGGAGGCAGTTGAGAAAAAGGGTTAGGCCTTGGCGGTTAGTTTGGACGTAGCGAAAGCCTTCGATCAGCATCAAGGTCGTTGAAGGTGCTTGCTCCGACGCTAAATTCGAGAACGCTGGGTAGTTTTTCTATTAGTTCTTTTTATTTTAAAAGATTGCCCTTACTTTAGGATAACATTATCCTGTGTTGCATATTTGCAACATTCATTGCTATGCGGATGACACTATGGGTGACGCATTATATACCGGCTGGGCAAATATTTCTCAGGAATACGTTAAGAGTGCCGAAATAATCTTGTCTGAAGTTGAGGTTTTGTTATGTAAAATCTCGGATTGGGGCCGACTAAATTTAGTCCAATTTAATCCCATGAAGACAAAGGTTTGCGCGTTTACCGCGAAGAGAAAACCCTTCGTCGTATCTCTCTCTTGAATACACTCCCCTTGTTGCCACCGATTCGATCGGAATTCTTGGGGTAAATATATAGAGCAGCGTACAATTTCACGGTCATTTAGAAGTAAAAGCCAAGCTGTCTTCTAAAATATATCGTGGGGAGTGCTCTGAGGCATTGTTCGAGTTGACACCGGCTGGTTCAACTGGCAATTTCACCACCGCTTAACTCGTCAAACCGCCAAGTGCCATCGACACCACCGCCTTGATGGTTGGCGGTTCACCACCGTGCGTATTTCGTGCAATTTTCTACCGCGCACAACTACTTTGTGAGACGAGTTGTCGCCCGATACGACTTAGGGATCTTCAAGAAGTGAGCCTACTTCTACCTTAAAGAACGCCAGAGCAATTGCGACTCAACTGATGTTGTAAATGTCCATGCGCGGCGGTGATCGCTTATCATCAGGTGAACCACATGCTCGTTTGCCTCCCTATTCCATAAAAAAGAGAGATTGAGTGATAGTGTTATACTTTAAATTTTTTGCAATTAAAATTTTTCTTTTTAACAAATTTCAGATATAATCAATTAATATATGGTTTCTGTAAATAATATTGAGTGTGTTTCTCTTAACTTAAAAGTGTAGAAACTCTTACCGTTATATAGACATGCAATTATAATTTTTCTACTTTTTTATCTATTGTACACAACACGATACAAAAAATGGAAAAATTAAACAAAGTATGTACAAAGACGAGCTGACATAAAAAAGGAGTTTTCTTCCAGCAGAAAATCATAATCACGGTTATTAGGTATAGATGTGTGAATTATTGTAAATCGTACTGAAAAGTACATAGGTAATATTTGACAGCACAAAATTTTTGTATCATTGTATGAGCAATCACATGAAATACTTACTACTGTTGATAAGAGCATGTCAATTGTTTTTAGTTGATATGTTTAGTAAGTTGATATGTATATTTTTGTTTTAAAATAACAAGGACATGGTGTTCAGACATGCTATTTTTGAATATTTGTGCTGCCGAACATATTTTATAAATTCAACAGGATTTTATCATGAATGCTTTTTTATGACATTGATATTATTTGTATGACATTTGGTAATAAATTAAATTGTAAGGCTTTTTTATACTGCCTCGTTTATACCTCTTTTACTCTTAATGATGTTTATCATGTTATATAATTTGCACTTTATGTACGGAAAACGTATATAGTTTATACATATTTACATTTTATATTTGGTGTAGGTAACAATAAAATTTCCAGAAACTGTTGTAAATTAATCAGTTTAAGCATGTTTTCTGATACAATCTTCTTGGGATTAAATTGATGTTACATGAACAATAATGATATTGTTAGTCTTATATATTTTTTTACCATTTTGAACATCATTGTTATATTGCAATGTGCAATATTCCCGATCCAGAAATGAACGAATATATTAGAATATGTTTAAAAATTTAAGAAATGGTTGGAGGAATTTGAATTTGAGTTTGAAGCTAGTTAAAACCAAAAAATAGAAAAAGTTGAATAAAGTATGTGTGTTCTAAGTATCAAAATCGCCAAAAAAGCCAAATCTTTGTAATAATTTAGTAAATCTTAACTTAAATTTGAAATACCAGTAGGGTTGCAGATGTGTTGCCACCTTTTAATAAATTGGCCCCGACTACCACA